AGTGAATAAGAAAGATCGAAGAAGAATCAATGCCTTTGAATCATGATGTTGACAAAAAGTATTGAAGGAAATCTGTCTTGTAGAAAGTACAAGTCTGCTCCTAGAGATGAGGACACCAGGACTTCCTCTCACATCTTTAGATGTGTATTGTCAAGAGGAACCAGTCCTTAGAAAAAGACATCATGCTGGGAAGAGTAGAGGCTCAGCAAAAGAGCAAGACACTCAACAGGCTGTATTAGCACAATAACGAAGAGAATTGACGTGAACATCAGAGATCATGAGAATAACTTAGGAAAGGGCAGGTCAAGATCTGTTGTTCATAGAGTTGCTGCAAGTCATAATCAACACCACAGCAACTAACAAGAATAAATAGAAGTACTTAGCAAACCGTAAAGTATTATACACATGTATCCCTATTGCATATTATGCTTACATTGATATAAGAATGGAATGCAGTCAGATTTTAAGTCATTTGCCATGCTGTTTGTGTGACCCACATTGTAAAGAACAGAAACTTACCATGAGAGTAATTTAATGTTTCCAGTGGTTTACATACTTTCTGTTAAGCAAGGTAGTGATTTGGTACCTAGGATCATTGCTCAAGTGTGAAGAAAACAAAAGTAAAACAACTTCTAAGATAAGTGCAAACAAGGATAACCACAGCAAGTAGAAAATTTGTAAGGTCTCTTAAAAGATCCCTGAATTTATATTGTAATGAGGAAATGTAGACAATAAAGCTTACATTTCTATAGAAATGAAAGTAGCTTAATTTCTCAAAAGTGTTTGCATTTGGGCATAATTAGTTTCCAGTTGTCTTTTCCCACTCACTAGCTATATGAGAAGAAGGTAATCTGTCTTTGGACCTTTCTTTCCTAATTAGTAAAATGGAAGTAACTCCTCTTTCACAATATATCTGTTAAATTAGAGAATGTTTAAAGAGAATAATACAGTACCTTAATAAATGATTATAAACAGTTATGCCCTTCTTGTGCTAAAGTACCTGAGTTAAAAAATTGAAACAAGATGAAGTCTAAGGTCTTAAAATCAGCTTAATTTCAGGAAAGCCCACAAAGAAGGAAGTAGATGACAGTCTTTTATGTGCATGACTTGTTTTAATTCTCAGAAATTAGTCATACTTGAGGGTAGGACAATGGAAAGGTATATGCCTGTATGTCTCTATCAAGTCTTTATCTCTGCTTATTACAGGAATAGGTGGTCTGTTACATATGAAAGTGAACTATATCCAATGTGGATATTCCTGGGAGATCACTCTTCCCAGATTCTGTCCAGGTGGCATGTGGGAGCTTAGCACTCTGCCTAGTGGTATACAGTCCTTTCCCACAATGTTAAGAGATAAAGCTGAGCCTTGAGTCCACACCTGCATATTCCTACAGCTTCTCAGAGTCCTGTGGACAATGACTGAAGAGACAAACCATGCAGGAAACAGTCTTTTGAAAAAAAAAAATAACCTGTTAAGACATTTACTTGTGTAAATTATTTTACTCTCCCCCTTTGAAAAAAGAAGAACCTAAACACTTCCTTCAAGTCAGTTCCAATTCATAGCAACCCTCCACCTTGCTTCCAAAGCTATAAATATGGGAGGAGACTGTCCATCTTCCATGGAGCACCTAGTAGATTCAAAGTATCAAGTATAATGAAGATAATATTTCCTTCAAGCTTAACTAGGGAGTTAAAAGTTTATTACCTTTTATTGTCGTTTTCTACTTGATTATTTCTATCCAAGTTGAATTTGGTTCTCTGAAATCAAGAGCAGTGTTATTTATTTTTATAACTCTTATTTCTCTAAGTGATAGAGGCTTAACAAATTATGCCTGAATGAATGCTTATTTGTTCAAAAATAAGAGATAGCAGTGATAGTTGTTGAAGCAAGGAAAGGAAGATTCAGAAGCGTTGTAATAAAATGTAAACTATTATGACTTAAGGTAAGTATTTTAAGTTCCAGTTATCACAAGATAATTATCAGTTGTGACAATTAGCACTTTTTTAAAAGAGTGTAAATCTGAGTATTTATGTTAGTAATACCTGATTAAAAAAAGAACAAGGGTCATTTGAACAAGAAAATAAGACACTAAGTTGAAAAGTTAGATGAAAGTTTATGTATTTAGTAAATACTTGTTATATGTCTATATAATATATATATGAGACATAGTGCTTACTTCTCAACTAAAAACAATTGAAAGAATGGACTTTATGGAAGGTTGTCATCTGATAAGTATTAAATAGTGAGGAAGGTTTTAGGTGGAATTTGTTTAGAGCTTCACTCTAGAGTGATCCTGGAAAGCTATTTCAAAAGACATCTAAGTATTTATAGATCTTTTCTCTTCAATTGATCATACTTGTAATGTCAGCCACTGTCTTTTCTTATATGTATCTTGTAAGCAGAGGAACTAAAAGCCTTCTCTTCTAGACTGTCTTTTCTTTTTTTTAAATTTTTTAATTTTATTATTTTGTGTGTGTGTACCATCAAATCAGATCTGACTGGTACAGGAGGAGATTGCCCCACCTTATCCGGCAGAGCATCTGGTAGATTCGAACCACATACCTCTGGGATTGCAGTGCAGCTTAGACTGTCTTTTCAAGGATGTTTGTATAGTGCTCGCTTTGGCAGCACATAAACTAAAAAGAATGTTTGTATAGTGAACAGCATTGTTGTTGCTGTGTTAGTGAGTCTTAACTGACTGAGAGCCGACTCCCCAGCAGATTTTTAGAAGCAATTCGTCACACAGGAGGAGATTGCCCATCTTTCTCCTGTGGAGTAGCTGGTTGATTTGAACTAGTGTCTTTGGGATTGCTGCATAGCTTATTACCATTATGCTATCAGAGCTCCCTAAAACAGCTTTGGAAGACAGAAATTATGCCTTAATGTGGAACATAATCTAAATTTATTTGCTATGAAGTATAATGATGATTTTGTCTCCCTGAAGTGGAAAAGTTGAGTAAGATTTTCTTACTAAAGTTTGGAATTTTAAGTTTTATAATTCCTTCTCTGACCAAAGACATGGTGTGTATAGTATGTATAGTGTACGGACCTTTGTATAATATGTATAGTGCTGAAGTAGTGAGGGAAAATGCCATAATAGGCAAGACGAAGGGATGTTTGTTCCCATTTCCAAGAAAGATAATCCAACAGAATGTGGAAATTATCAAACAATATCATTAATGCAAGCAAAATACTGCTGGGGATCATTAAAAATGGCTAGAAAAGAACATAGGCAAAGAACTGCCAAACCTTCAAGCAGGATTTAGAAGAGGCATAAGGATTTCATTGCTAATGTCAAATGCATCGTGGCTGAAAGCAAAGAATGTCTATTTGTGCTTTATTGACTATGCAAAGCATTTGACAGTGGGAACCATAACAAATTATGGCAAAGAATAGTAATTCCAGAACACTTAATTATGCTCATGGGAAATTTATACCTAGACTAAGAAGCTGTTGTCCAAACAGAGCAAGGGAACACTGCATTGTTTAAAATTAGGAAAGGTGTGCATCAGGGTTGTAGCCTTTCTCTAGACCTATTTAATCTGTATGTTGAGCAATAAGACGTTAGACTGTATGACGAAAAATGTGATATCAGAATTTGAGGAAGATTCATCAATAACCTTCATTATACAGATGACAGAACATTGCTTGCTGAAAGTAAGGAGAACTTAAAGCACTTGCTGCAAAAGATCAAAACTGCAGCTTTCAATATGGATTACATCTCAGCATCAAGAAAACAAAAATCCTTACCAGTGGACCAATAGACAACATCATGATGGACAGAGAAAGAATTGAGACTGTTAACAGACTTCATCTTACTTGGATACACCATCAGTATACTTAGTTACCAGTAGTCAAGAGATCAGGAAACATATTGCCTTGGTAAAGTCTGTTGTGAGGGACCTCTCCAAATTATTGAAGAGTGATGATGTCAGTCTGGAGACTAAGGTGCACCTGAACCAGGCCATAGTCTTCACAATTGCTTGCTATCAGAGAGCTGGACCATGAATAAGGGTAACAGAAAAAGAATCAATGACTTTGAGTTGTGGTGCTGGAGAAAAGTGTTGGATATACCATAGACTGCCAAGAGAACAAACAGCTCTGTCCTGGAGAGAATGAAACCACATTGCTTCTTGGAGGCAAGGATTTTGAAGCTCCCTCTCACATTCTTTGTGCATGTTGCCCAGAGGGACTAGTCCTTAGAAAAGGACAATGTAACGTGCTTGGAGGGGTCAAGGATGGTGCAGGAGAGAAAGACCCTGAACGAGATATTTTGAAACAGGGACTGGGGTAATGGGGGCAGATGTGTCAGAGACAGTGAGATTGGCTCAGAATAGGGCAAGGTTCTGAGCTTTTGTGTATAGGGTTACTGCAACAACTCCTAACAGCAACAATAAGGGAACTTTTGTAATATTGACCAATTTAAGAGTGAAGGTCAAAGGTTTGAAACCATACTTGAGAAACTGGACAGAGGAATATATCTTGCTACTAAACTGAATTATAGCTTAACTTCCTCAATAAACCCTATAACCTTAAGTATGGTTCAGTAAAGTCCATGTGGTCACTGCAACAAATTTTAGACCCAGGAGAGTTTGGTGCTTTCCTTAGTAGAAGTAGGTGTAGAACACGGGAGACTAGACCTTATAGAAATTAGTCTTGTACTGTGGATGCTGTTGAGAAGAGACATTTCCCCTTTGTGGATAGTAGAGGTCAGACTCAGCCATCCTCATGCTGCCCTTGCTCAAATTTCAATTATCCATCCTAGGATTTACCTTTTCAGGCTGAAATAAATTATATGGTAATTTCATAATGCCTATAATGTACCTATTTGTGCATTTGTATCAGGAAAATGAATACACTTTTAGGCCTGTTGTAATTTATTTATTGGTAATGATATTGGAATAATAAGATCAAATACAGAGGTGTTTTAAGTTAAAATATTGATTTACCTTGTATATATTTTGCTTTTCCTGTTATTTACATATTTTCTCTATTTTAGGTATAACTTTAGCTTTTCCGGCTTCAGTTCATGATTCTCTGATTTGCAGTAAAACATTTCAAATTCTGTACAAAAATGAAGAAGTAGTTTTAAATGATGTTATGATCTTCAAAGTTAAAATGCTATTGGATGAAAAAAGGGTAAAAATTTCTTTATATATATTTTTTAAAAGATTGAAGGCATGCTTCTAAGTTTCTATACAATTTCTAATTTTCTCACATTGTATGTAATTGCTTTTCAGATTGAAGAAACCCTTGAGGAAATAAATTTTCTTTTATCTTTGGATCTACACTTCACAGATGGAGATTATTCGTAAGTAAATTTACAAACTTTTTTTTTAAAATCTCCAGGTATTTATAACTGTATTTGTTGATACTTCTCCATTTCCTTTTTGGAGTCCAGCTGTCTCCTGCATGTTCATTAACATCTACTTCTGTCTTTCAGGGGAGTGTCATTAGCGTTGCTCAGTCTGCTCCTCTGACCCCATGTTTATTCCATAAATCCCAGGTAGCAAGTTCATAGAAGTCTAACTCTTTTCTAGACTCTAGAACCACCATTATGAGTCATTTAAATATAACTGAGCTTTCTTTCACCATATTATTGTCAGATTTTTCTTAGTAGCTTAAAAGATGTGGTTTTTAGCTCAGACATTTTTTATATTTTGAGTTATCAAACCTGGGACTCTCAGAGTTTGTCATTTGTCACAAGTTCATTAATATCTAGAGCTTTTAAGGGTTTTAGAACTGGCTACCCTGAACTTCCCCGCATGCTTGGACATACATATTTATATTTGGTGACTTGCTTACTTAAAATAAGAAATAGAGATCCACTTAACAATTTTCTTTTTGGTGTTTATCTTCATTCAGAATTGTTTATAGAATAAATTGTACATAGAATAAATGACAAAACAGGCACTTGACTAAAAGATCTACCTTAGATGTTCTCTTCATTGTGATTAAGAAGTAAGAATTTTTCACACAGTTGTGACTGCTCCTCTTGAATACTTTGTTACAAAAAAATTCCTTCAAGGGTTTCTTCTTTAATTAGATTGTGGTGGTGTTATGTGTCTTCAGAGTCGCCTACAACCCTCAGCAACCCTATATGTACAACAGCCCTAAACCCTGCTCTATCCTATGCCAAACTTACTGTCTCTAACATACCTATCCCCATTACCCCAGTCACTTCACACAGTTGTGACTGCTCCTCTTGGAATACTTTGTTACAAAAAAATTCCTTCAAGGGTTTCTTCTTTAATTAGATTATGGTGGTGTTATGTGTCTTCAGAGTCGCCTACAACCCTCAGCAACCCTATATGTACAACAGCCCTAAACCCTGCTCTATCCTATGCCAAACTTACTGTCTCTAACATACCTATCCCCATTACCCCAGTCACTTCACACAGTTGTGACTGCTCCTCTTGGAATACTTTGTTACAAAAAAATTCCTTCAAGGGTTTCTTCTTTAATTAGATTATGGTGGTGTTATGTGTCTTCAGAGTTGCCTACAACTCTCAGCAACCCTATATGTACAACAGCCCTAAACCCTGCTCTATCCTGTGCCAAACTTACTGTCTCTGACATACCTATCCCCGTTACCCCAGTCACTGAATCAGTCCATCTCATCAAGGGTAGAGTTCTTTGAGTAGAGTAAAACAAATAAGCTTTCATCAGCTATAGTAGTTAAAATTTATATTTGAGTCAAAGAATTATATAGTTGTATACCATTTTATGGCATTGTTTCAAAGATTCTGTACAAGTAAATCAACTGACAGGTTAAATAACAATATTCAAGTTATCTACCAAGTTTTATGTAGTAAAAATAATTTTAAATAATATTTTACTTGAGTTATGTTATACATCCTCTTTATAATAAATAATAACTCCTGGTGCAGTAAAATATATATTTGTGAAGTATTAAATAAAGTGACTTAGGGTATTGGAAAGATCTGGTGTGAAAAACAATGTATTTGAACTTTGTAAATAAATCAGTATAAAATAAATTTTTTTTAAAACATAAAATTTTTTTTAAAATAAAGTGATTTATGGTATAGGAGCATTAGTGATAAAACTCCATCACATGAATTGATAAAAAACTACAGATAGGCTCTGTTTTATTGGTTTAATTTCATATTTTATCTAGTCAAATGTGATACTTTAAAAATATTTTATTCTAAATTATTAAAAAATAATTAAATGTTTTTGATAGCTTAAACTACATTGCATTTTTTATAGGGAAGATGATTTGAACGCCTTGCAACTAATAAGTAGCCGAACACTGAAATTGCACTTTAGCCTCCACAGAGGCCTTCATCATCATGTTAATGTTATGTTTGATTACTTCCACCTTTCCGTTGTGTCTGTTACAGTCCATGCTTCATTGGTTGCACTACACCAGCCACTAATAAGGTAAATTTAACCAGTTCTGTAGTGATTATTAATGTACTGTTTTTTTATTTTTTCTACTTAAAAAAACCCCTATAATTTGATAAGGATAACTGAAGTACTGATGAATTGCTAAATTCATAATTATCTAATAAACACTTTCATTTTATACCTAAGTATAAAATAATACACATTAATAGCTTTTGGAACATTATAATGATAACTTTTTGTTATAGAAATATGAAGCAGTCTTTAGTGAATCATATTTAAGTTGACCAAGAAAAATAATGCCATTTAGTAGTAGCCATATAGCTTTTCTTTTGTTTTACCTATGTTTATATTTAATGTTATACTATGATTAATAGTTGTCTAAAGAAATTACTTTAAAATTTTGTTTTTATAAAATTTTTAAGTCATAACCAATATTATGTATTTATGATTTTTAAATGATAGCATATAACATTTTAATGTAAAGATATGTTTAGTATCCTAATAAATGTTATAGGAATGTCTGTTATGCTGCCTACTTCCATAGGGAGAGGGATTATGTTTGATTAATGTAAGAATACAATTCTTGTTGTTCGGCTTATACAGTAAAATATCCCATGTCACAGGCACTTTTTTTTTTCTTGTCACGGGCACTTTTAAGAACAACAACTGATTGGACTTCAGAATTATCTGTAATATCAAAGACATTATAGTAAGGGTGATAATATTAAGGGAAATTATTTTTAATGGAAATCTGAGTAGGTAGTTTTGTAGAAAAATGGCCCTGAGAATTAAGACAGTAAAGTTTAATAGATTTCCCACAAGTATCAACCTATGTGGCATAGATCTTGACCATGTTTTCAAAACTATAGTTAAGAACTTCTTCCACTGTTGTTACATGATCTTTTCCATCTTGACTCAGATCCTGTAGAGCTCAGGACAAGGAAAATATTTGATTCTCCTGATGACTTGCTTTGCCTTGTAAGATCAGTACAACTAGTAGTTAAGGTATAATTGTCAAAGAAGTAATATACATATTATTTGCATGTGAATTGCAGACTAGATTTTAATTCTACAAGTTTATTTCTTTGTGCAATTCCTATAATTTCTAGATCTTCTTTTAATTACATTAAGAACCCTTAATTAAACTATTTCAGCCATTCTTAATTTAAAATTCACTAAGACTGTCTTTATTTGCTTAGTTTCTCTCCTGGAAAATGTATACACAATTCATAGAGGCTAACTCAGGTTACTACTGTTGCTTTTTAAAGCCCTGATTAAAATAGAGTAGTGATATTTACATCACTAATCCTAGTCTGCTTCCTCTTGCAATGTAGCACCTTTTGCCACAAACTAGTAGGAGAAAGGGGCATCTCATCCCCTAGAGACCGTTCACTGGAAGAAGACATTTTTGGCTCAGAATCAGAAGCCAAGAGGATTAACTGTTGGCTCTGGTTAGTGACTGGAGGACAAAATGAGGTGCCTGCAACTGCTGAGGTTGCTGTTCTTTACTTAGCTGCCGTGGGCCCTTATGTTACCTCTTTTGCTGCTAGACCTTTGCCAGAGGAAGCACTGTCTTCCCCTGCCTTTCTTTAGCTGTAAATGAGAAGTTGGAAAAGAGAAGCAAAATAAAAAGGGGGGGGTCAAAAGAAAGCTTTTTGCTGCTGCTACTGGAAATGGAGTCAATGTTAAAGGTAACATTCCTCACTACTATGCTTCAACAGATTTTTCTTATCGGTGAACCACTCACTCCACCTCCAAATAATCATATATGAATCCCTGAGAATGCACTACACAGAGGGATCTCCATGTGGCATTCTCTGGAGAAGGATTTAAGAATTTAATTGGCTGTTTTCACTACTGGTGGAGTTTTCTTGGTTTGGGGTGGTTGGGTTTTTTTGGATTTTTTTTGTTAAATCCTCTAACCACAATGAAAAGAGCTCTTAGTGGTTCAGTAGACAGTGTCGTGGATTGCTAACTGAGAAGTTAGTTGTTCAAATCCACCAGCTGATTACTCCAAGGTGGAGAAATGAGAAGTCTGTTCCCACTCATATTTACTGCTTCAGAAACCCAATTGTGAATTACTGTCCAGAGTTGGAATTGGTTTCATCACAGTGGGTTTAAATTGGTATTGATAAAAATGAATTTTTAATTATATTTTTCTAAATACTCTTTTTATTTAATATCATTTCTTTGACTGACCCAATTATAACATTAATTCAGTTAAGATAAATGGGTTAAGATAAATGTTTGCTTTTTCTTTATATAATATTTCTTTCAGTTCTTCTTAATGACCACTTTTCTGACTCAATTCTGAAAACATAGCAAGTGGGATTTAACATTGACCTGCTGACTCTTTTCTTTGCTGGTATATAGGTACTTTATTTTTGTAAAGCAAATTGATTTTGCAAATGAAGGCTACTCTCTGCTTGAGACAAAAATTATTTACTTTTCTGTTTCCTCCCTTTTGCCGAGTTATCAATGCTTTGGCCTGCTGATTAAAATTACCCAGTGTTTTATCTCAAATATAGTCAAGTTTATTTTTAAATATTCAACCAGAAATATTTGTGTAGTTGTATAGAATACTAAATGTGATGGCATCAGTTTCTGGGTGGTACAGATGATAAGTACTTGACAACTAACCAAAACGTTGGTGATTCAGAAGCAACTCAAAAGTAAGACTTAGTGATGAGTTCCTAAAAGATCAGAGCTTTGAAAGCCCTAGGGAGCTGGCCTGCTCTGCACAAACTGCAGATTGTCATCACTTGGAGTTGACTTAAGGGTAACAATAACAACAAACCATAATGTTAATGTAGAAGCAATTCAGATCATATGTGATGTGTTGATATCTTGAAGCATTGTATAAAGATTTTATTAATGTAGTGCTTATTCTGTTCGTGAAGAGCAGTAAGAGAAGAAAATATCTTTGAGAATTAGACAAGTTGATGTATTAATTTTAATTTTTTTTTAAAATCTCTAAGTAGGAACTCTATTTCTGTAAATAGTTCACATGTTTATGACTTTTTTTAAGACTTGGGAACCAGTTCTTATAGACAATAATTTCCAAGTTAAAGTATGAATACCCATTTGTCATTTAGCCACTATAGATCCCAATATATTAAGTATCCTTTTAGTATCCCTGAGTCATACCGTTAGAGAAGTAGTCTTGAGCAAATAGTGTTAATTTTTGTATATAATTGTATGTCTTCTTATTTGAATTATGATAGTTCTGAGTATTTTTTTAAAATGCATTTTTTAAAGAATTCTTTAGAACTTAGCACCTTGCACTCACCTTGTTCTTTGTCTTTCTATAAGATTCTCATTAATAAATACACACAGCTTAAGTTGACTATTATGATAATGGTAATGTCATACTTATTTATTTCTCCAGCTTTCCTCGACCTGTGAAGACTACTTGGTTAAATAGAAATGCACCAGCACAAAACAAAGATTCTGTGATTCCTACTCTTGAAAGTGTGGTCTTTGGTATTAACTACACAAAACAGTTATCACCAGATGTAAGAACGAAATATGTTTATAAACCTCCTTTTTCCTTTTCTTTAAAGTGAAGTGTTTTTAACTATGTGATACTCCTTTTAATAATTATTTTAGACTAAAAGCATACAGACCTAATTGAACATAATCTTAACTAATTGAATTAACCTGACACATTTAAGATTTTGGCAAATTAGTGGCTAAAAAGTATTTGATGGCAGCTAATGCTCTCTTTAATTTCTACCATAACCCTTTGCCCCCTATTAAGAACTGTTAACATAATCTGTTGCCAGAGTTGAGACCCACCTTGAAGTAGTACAATTATAACCATTATTCCCCTGAAAGGAAAGGGGACTGGCCTGTAGTCCAAATGTAGGGGTTTTTTATTCTCAAATTATTAAAACATCATTTAATATGGTTGCTTTCTTAAAAACCTATCATAACTAAATTATAAGAGTTGTATACCATAAGTGTAAATTATTTGTATAAACAACTCTGTAGTTTTACTAGTTTTTGTGTTTTGGTAGGTTTTTTAAATAGAATGACAAATGACTAATAAGGGTTCTTTGTCGTTCTGGTTTGAAGTGTAATACCTAAAATTTTTGGTTACTAACAATCTAAAACCAAAATCCTTTCTTTATTTAGGGATGCAGTTTCGTCATTGCTGACTCCTTCCTGCATCATGCCTATAATTTTCATTATACACTTTGTGCCACTTTGCTGCTGGCCTTCAAGGGATTGCACAGCTACTTCATTACGGTAACCGAAGAGATTCCCTCTTGTCAGAAACTAGAACTGGGTATGTTAAAAGTAGCCAGACCTATAGTTCAATTCATTCTCTCTGTTCTATCATTATTAGATATCAGCATACATTTTCTGTACTAAGAGTTTAATATTTATGCACTTCTACTTCTCTCTCAATTTCATCTTTCTCAACCTTTGATACTAATTTTCTTCAACTGGAAATTTTTTTTATAACATTGAGAAATAACTATTATTAATTTTTTTAAAACCTATTTGTCAACATACTATTCTTCTAAAAATAGAACCAGAAAGCACACTAGAACACAAATTTAATTGTTATTCAATCCTAGGATGTTAAGTCCCTATCTTTAAAAATTTATTAGGAACAGTTTATGTGTATTTAACTTTAAGAGATCTTATATCTCTTCTCTTTTTTTCTTTCAAGAATCTCAGTATTTTAGCAATATCAGTAAAACCTCTAGTCACTGTTACTGAAGATAGTTGTTAGACTGAGACTAATTTAATTAGCTTGTTTTTAATTTCCTGTTTCGTGATACAAAAGAGTTAGTAAAGTGTTATTTCACTGAAATGTAACTGTAGATTAGTGCTGGTTATGCTGCTGCCTGTCAGAAACTAGTCCAGGGAATATGATTAATTCTGCCATTCACACCTGCTTGGCTAGATAGAGGTTTCATTGAATTGCCTATCAGAAAACCTGAGTTAATAATTCCAGTGTGCATACAGTTAAAAGTAATTGAGTTAAAAGGTCATTTGTTTATTTTTTGTTGTTGTTGTTCATGGATTCTTCCACAAAACAAAGATGATGATGTGGAAAGAATAGCTTTTTTATCATTTGTCTTTGAAATATTCTTTTTTTTTTTTCCTTCCTGTTCATGCATTTTTTTTCTGAGGAAAAATGACTACTACCTCAAAGTATAAATTTTTTAAATGAAATAAATATTCGTAAAATACACTCATTTTGACAACCCTTCATTTCTCAATTAATAAAAAAAATATTTCCAGGATATTTCTTAATTTGGTCCTTAGGAACTCAAAAACATTTTCCTAGGAGAAGAATATTAAACATTTTGGTTTGATTCAATGACCAGGATATTAAAACTATAGTATTAAATGCAGAAACATGTGCCTGAAAAGTAGCAGTATAAAACTTAAAAGGGTAAAAAGGGGCTCTAAGATTTAGATTTAGACAGGGAGCTCCAGTGGCCTAATGCATGAGGAATTAATGCTGCCAAACCGAAAGCATACTGTTTCAAATTCACCAACTGTTTCATGGACTTTGTAGCCTTTGAAAACCTACTGAAGGGTCAGCTATGAGTCAATTCCGACTCAATAGCACATGATTATCAACAGCATAAAAGAAGGACCAACGTCTGTTCACCTGCATGTAATTTTCGACATGTAGTATTTGTGAATGGAAAAATACATAAGCCCTATTTTAACTTCTAAGAAAATCTCTCTAGAGACAGGATATTAATAAAATTAATAACTAATTAAAATATTTTTTCAGAATAACAGGCTATTTTAAGTAGCTTCTTTAATATTAGCATTTTATTGCTAACTTACTTACTTTTAGCATAATTCATTTATTCATTGGGTTTTAGTTTTCTATTAGAGAAGGATGGCTTTTTTTGTCATACATTACTTTCAATTAAAAAATGGAGTATAGAAATTATCATAACTAGGAGATCCCTTTATTTAAGATCAGGGGTTAAGACTGCATGAATATCAAATTTTATTTCAAATTATTTTATCAGAACAGGAAGTTATAAAGTATGCAGACTTTATTTTTATCAGTAAATTATAGCAATAGAGTTAAATTATTTATACATTACACATTTATTTAAAATATATTTGTTGAATAAATGAAATAATAAATTGATGTTGTTTGTTTAGAAATTATAGTTAGTAACACAAAGCTCATAGAGGTTTTCCTCAGAATGTTTAAGGTCAAGATTCATCTTTAATCAATAATTTTATAATAATTTTAATTCTAAGGAATCATGCTGAAAATACAAAGGCAAGAGATTTTAATTCACCAGCTGTTCCATGGGAGAAGGATAGGCAGTCTCCTCCTGTGAAGTTTACAACCTCTGAAAACCCCTTGGAGGGTCAGCTCTGAGTCCAAATAGTACAATATATGATAATGTTTTGGGTTTTTTTAAGCCTTTCTTTAACAATTTATAGGACACTCGGGTCACTTCTCTAGGAACTGTGCTAACACAAAAGTGATGCCTCTTTAGCTATTCAAATCTGTCAGTGGCTCAGTGGGAGAAAGATGAGGAGTCTCTTCCTATCCAGTTTATAGCAGGGAAAACCAGATCTAGTTCCACAACAGGGAATATTTGAAGTTTTAGGGCTTAAGTTTTCTTTTTATTGAATAGTAGTAGTTTAGTACATATAAGAGAACATCTGAAATGCTGTTACTTAAAAGACTAAAAAGTTATCCTTGCTTACTTTCATCTTAATGAAATAAAATTATAAGTACTAGAATGATTCCATAATATACTGTAGACAGGTCACTCTGTTCATCAGTGTTAATAAGTACATCTAAAGTAGTTCTTGATTAAAGGATATATTATATGTTTTATTGTTTAAAGCTTAATCTTAAATTTACAAATAAGCATATATTTATAAGTACTAAACTCCAGTGTGTTTTAAACTTTTATCTAAACTCTATTCCCTATTTTAAAATAGTGCCTTGAATTCTTCTTTCTACCTTTATCTTTTTGTTTTCTTAGATGAATGATGTACATTTTTTAAGCATATAATTAAATAAATATGGTTTGGTGCAAGGAGCACTTAAAATAGGAGTCAAAGTTCCTTGAATTTAGGCTTCCCAAATCATTTTACCTTTCTGAGCCTCCACATCTACATTGGAGATTGACCTAGCTTATCTCTAAAAGATCCCAGCCAGCTAAAAGTATGAGCCTAAGAAATTTAAAAAATGAAACTAGTATTAAATTCTTAATTTTTGAGTGACAAATATACTTAAGTGGTAAAAAAAGATCAAAGTAATATCAATGTAAATGTACATCATTTGCAATTCTAGTAAGCTAATTAACCAACTGAAAGATTCTGCCTTAGTATTCTAACTACCCTATCAGATATTCAGAAATAAAGTCTGTTTACTAACAACTTGGAAAGTTCTGCCTTAGTATTCTAACTACCCTATCAGATATTCAGAAATAAAGTCTGTTTACTAACAACTTGGAAAGTTCTAGTAAATTTTATTGAAAAAGGAGTATGGTAACTAGTGATGTGTGCCATCCTTATAACTAGCCAAGGCCAACATGCAGGTGCTATATGAGCGTCTTCTCAGAAGAAAACAGCCACGAACCCAAAAAGACACCTGTCTAGGTATGTTACAAGTAGCTTAAGTAAATATCCCCTTTTATTTAATATGGAATTTTGCTTTTAGTCCAATTTCATAAATAAGTATTTACTAATATAGTAAATTTCTCCACTCATTTTAGTGTTTGCTATAATCAAGTATATATGCACACCTATGTTTATTACAGCTTTGTTCACAATAGCAAAGACTTGGAAACAACTCAAGTGCCCATCAAAAAACGAATGGATAGAGAAGCTGTGGTATAGTCATACAATGGAATATTATGCAGCATTGAAAAACAAGGAACTCATGAAATATTCTACAAAGTGGGTGACCCTGGATGACATTATGCTGAGTGAAATATCTCAGTCATAAATAGATAAATACTGTATAATGCCACTGTTAAAAAACAGGCCTGACAGGGGCTGGGGGAAACTAAGAAAAGAAGGGATAAATAATATACGTGGCACAGAAGAGGGAAAGAACTGTATAAAAGGAATATATGATTAGGCATTATTGGTAGAACAAGAGTCCAGAATAAGAGCTGCATAGTAAAGGGG